ACCAACAGGATTAAAAGACAAAAAAAAGTGTTCTTATAAATACTAACTTGTATTTCATCAGGTTCTCTGAAGTAATCTTGGGGTCGTGTTTTGCTTAGTTTGTTAAATATGTGTAGGAAATGTAGTAATAATAAGTGGAAAAAGAGAATTGTGTGAGAAGGCACCAAGGAAACCCAGTGAGATACTGAAAAGCATTTTAAGAGGTAGAGGGCACACTCTCTCTGTGGAAAAGTGATGGAATTCTTCAATAATGCTACTGAGATTTGCTGTGCGGAAGTGAAGAGTGCTTAAAGCTGAAGACTTCATTATTGATGCATAAGACCAGTCTGTTGAAACACACTGTAAAAAGCTCAGGCAAGGTGACAGTGTTTTGAGTGTCGGTGAAACTGCAGACAGACGCAGAAGCAGCAACACATTTATCCGAGGTCCACGCAAGGTGTTGACTGGGTGAGCAGCCCCCTTCACAGGCTCTCTGTGGCAATACAGTCTCCCGAGGACCGCAGCTAGGACAACTACAAATCTGACCAAGTGACCACTGACCCATTGAAATGAAAATCTGTTGGAACTTCACTTTGCCAAAGGACGCACTGGTGGAGTTAAAAAACTCAGCTGCTATTCTATTCGTGCAGACAGCCTCAAGATCACAGCCCCAAAATACCACTATTGCAAACCCTGCCTGTCTATAGAATGAACATCCAGGACAGAAGGAAGAAAAAGCCTCCGAACACCGTCTCCAAGAAAGGAGTGAGAGAGACCAGAGGAATGCAGGCCTTAAGTAGCACTGACTGCAGTAAATACCACAGAATCTGCCTGGGACCATTCTCATGACTGCAACACTCCCACCTGGGAGTATATAACTTCATTTTATATATATATATATATTGCAGCCCTTCCTGCTGCAATAGCACCTCAGAAGCTGATCTCAAGCTCGAGACAAAAGATGTCCAGCTCCCACATAGGAACATCGGTTTAACAGATTGGTATGCCCCCTGCTACAGGTGCTGAGATGTCAGAGCACCTTGCCCAGGAAACTGCTGTTTGCCGTCCTATTTTACATACCAGAAAATTGAGCAGAGGGAGAAAAGTGAATTGCCTGAGGCTGTTCAGCAAGCTAATGGCCAAGACAGAGCTGGGAGCAAGTTAATGGGACACTGGGTTAATTGCCACATTTATTCATCTTTCCTGGAGGGAAGTGGTCTGCTGGATACGGGTTAAGTACAGTGCCAGGCTGTGAGTTTCCACCTTGCTTATTTGCTTGCAGAGTTAATCTCAGTAAGCCTCTTGCCCCACCAGAAAAATCTTGCTGCAGTTTCAAAGACACTTCCAGCCATTTGGGTAGGATTCACTGTGCTTATCAGAATGAAGAGCAAAGCCAGGATAACTGGCTGTCCTCGTGTGTCAGCTTTTGTAACACATGGTGGATGAGTCTGGGATATGCACCAGCTTGCCAGAAGTGAAGCTAGCACATTTTCCCCCATTATTAGCACTGATCTGATTTTGTTAATCAAAATAGAACAAACCTAACAGACTTGGTGCAGATATAACAAGGCTTTTTAAACAATTCCTGTGTTAAGTATTAGCAAATGCCAATCAGCTCTTTAAAAGGTCTTCTTTACCAGAAGGTTTGGGTTGTTCTGGTGACAAACATAGTGCTTGCTCCTCGGGCAAGTCTCAGCACAATGGAGGAGATGTAGAAACAAATTAAGCAATCAGTGCGATCTTGCACTATATAGAAGTAATTCTTGCCTGGCATTTCTGCCTGTATTCCTACAGCTTCAGTGGCCGTAAAGATGATTAACAATATTGTATAGTAATACTATACAATAACAATTTCTAGTTATTAGTAAAAAATAATTGTATTTTTTTATGTTGCAGTAGCACCTAGAGGACAGTCATTGAGTATCACTGTGTATGCTGGTGTATGTCAGCAAAAAATGATAACTTTTCTCTGCTAGTTACTTTGAGATCTCCACATGAGCAGTGCCATAAGAGAACTCTTGCTGCTGTTTCTCTGGAGCAACATGGCACTGTAAGAACAAGGTGAGAGCAAGCTGGTCAGGAGGCAGCCACCCAGGTCACCTTTACTCTTGCAAGCAGAGCCCAGAGTCACACTGCCCCTGAGAGCCCCGATTGAAGCATTACAGAGGCAGAACACCCTCAATTCAAAAGCCACTGATTTCAACTCATG